AACATATATATACATATACAAATAAAAATTGTATATATTCTTCATCTGTGGCGTGTTTTGAGACGTGTACATTTTGGGAGAGCTGACTTGAGCTAATTACCATATAGTTTTTGACCCATATGGAGAGAGTTCTTTCCAAGTTCGTTTCCTAAGTTTTACACTTGACTCTAAAGACTTCAGAGCCCCTGACAATCTTCTGCCCATTTTTAGAGATACATTTTTTTCAAGATTTTTGAAAAAAATTATAAATTGCAGTAAAATACACATAACATAAATTTACCAGCTTGACTGTTTTTGGAATGCGGTCTTGTCGGTACAGCCAAATTGTGCAGCCAAATTCCGGAACTCCTCACTCTCCCCATTCAACAGCTACTCCTCGTGCTCCCTCTGCCAGCCTCTGGCAACCAACCTTTCATTTTCTGGTCCATGCCTCTGACTGTTTCATACAAGTGGGATCATCCGGGCCTTGTCCTTTTGTGACAGCATATTTCACTTAGCACATTGGCTGCAGTTTTGCCATATGGTAGCTGAGTCAGAATTCTGTTCCTTTTCAAGCCTAGATAGTATTCCTTCGTGTGTATCGACTGCATTTTCTTTATCATTGGGCCACTCATGGATACTTGAGTAGCTTCCCCTTGTGGAAGCTATTGTGAAAAATGATGCTATGAGTGTGAGTGTCTTAGTCTGTTATGGGACAGCTATAACTGAACACCATGGGCTGGATGGCTTAAAAACAACAGAAATTTGTATCTCACAGTTCTGCAGGCTAAAAGTCAAAGATCAAGACAGCAGCAGATTTGGTGTCTGGTGTGAGGCCCCACTTTGCCCATGTGAGGGTAGAGGGAACTCTCTGGAATCTCTCATAAGGGCACTAATCCCATTCATGGGGGCTCTGCCCTTGTGACCTAGTCACCTCCCAGAGCTTCTAAAATCCATTACCTTGGAGATTAGGTTCAAGGGAAGAACTTTGTGGGCACAGCACTGTTTGGCGTATAGGATTTGGTGTGCAGGTATCTTTTTGAGTCCCTCTTTTCAGTTCCTTGGGAGTGGAATTGGTGGTCGCATGGCCATTCTGTGTAATTTTTCAAGGAGTTGCCATTCTGTTTTCCCTCAGACAGTGTCATGGAGGGGCCTCTCCATGACAGTCACACTAAACCCTCTTTTTCTCTTGGAGTACAGGCCAGTCCATCGTGGGCTGCAAAGCCATCCTCATTGATGACCAGGTCTTTGTGGTGGTGGCCCAGCTCTTCGGCGGCTCTCACATTTACAAATACGACGAGAGCTGGACCAAGTTTGTCAAATTCCAAGACATCGAAGTGTCTCGCATCTCCAAGCCCAATGACATCGAGCTGTTTCAGATCGACGATGAGATGTTTTTCATCATCGCAGACAGCTCTAAGGCGGGGCTGTCAACGGTCTATAAGTGGAACAGCAAAGGCTTTTACTCGTATCAGTCCCTGCACGAGTGGTTCCGCGACACGGACGCAGAGTTCCTCGACATCGATGGGAAATCGCATCTCATCTTGTCCAGCCGCTCCCAGGTGCCCATCATCCTCCAGTGGAACAAGAGCTCCAAGAAGTTCGTCCCCCATGGCGACATCCCCAACATGGAGGACGTGCTGGCTGTGAAGAGCTTCAGGATGCAGAACGCCCTGTACCTTTCACTCACCCGCTTCATTGGGGACTCACGGGTCATGAGGTGGAACAGTAAGCAATTCGTGGAGGTGCAGGCGCTGCCATCCCGGGGCGCCATGACCCTGCAGCCCTTCTCTTTTAAAGATAATCACTACCTGGCCCTGGGGAGCGATTACACGTTCTCGCAGATATACCAGTGGGATAAAGAGAAGCAGCTGTTCAAGAAGTTCAAGGAGATCTACGTGCAGGCCCCGCGCTCGTTCACAGCCGTCTCCACCGACAGGAGAGATTTCTTTTTTGCATCCAGTTTCAAAGGGAAAACAAAGATTTTTGAACACATCATCGTTGACTTAAGTTTGTAAAGGTGTGAAGGGTGAATTTAAAAAGATCGTGTAGCGTTAGTTCTCACAAGAGGGGTCCAAGAAAAAATAAAATAATAAAATAACATAAGCCAGGCTCAGAGCTCTGAAGTTCAACTTTAAAATGGGGAAATAGTTAGAAGTTTTCAAACTTTTAGGATTCGCATTTTAATCAGGGATTGCATTTACTGGCTAACTGCATGACATGCCCATTCTATCATTTAAAAAGGCACCTGGTAGCCTGTGATTTCCAAGAGAAGAGTGCAGCATTTACTCTTACCATTTAGAAAGTAATGTGCTTTTTCTTTCTTTTTAATGAGGAAGGAGAAAAATGGATAAGGTGGGATAGCTCTTTTAATGAGATAATAATGATAATAAATAAATAAATGGATAAATAAACCAAACCAAACCTATGGACCCTTCTCATTCCGTTTTAGCAACCTTTTGGGTAAGAAATGTTAAAGCCAAAGGCAGCTGAAGATATTGCCTGATGAGTGGTTTAAAAGCCTCAGAGCACTCAGCAGTGCTATTCTGAGCCATCCTGATTTCCTGAAAGTAACACCCAGCCTTCCAGAACATTCTGTAATGCCAAAATCTTCCTCCTTTGGTTGGCTTATGTAGATGGATGCTCATCATGGTGTGATGATGAAAGTTTGATATTTGACAAACAGCTGAAAGTTTGACATTGCTCCCTCTTCCACAGAGAAAACACTCTGGCAACACATGTCTAGGCCAGCATGGGTTCCGGGCCCAGCAGTGAGACCAAAGAATGTTTCCGTCTCTCGTGCACTTCAAAGCAGGCCCTCACGCTGGCCAGGGCGACAGCGCCTGTTTGATGTGCTCTGTGACTTCTCTGCTTCTCTGAACCTATCCTTTGAATTTGTGGGCAACCAGCAGACAGGCCAAAGACTGAACAGAGCTTTCTTTTCTGTCCCTCAGAGGGCGGAACAGGTGTTTCCATCTAATGCGCATTTGGTAGGCTCTTTTGAAGTGAGATTTCTCAGAGTCAAAGGGGACTTTACTTACACAGATTGTAATGCGCTTTGAAACCCAGAGGTGGCTCTTTGATTTATGCATGTCTTTGCCCTCTGGACAACTTAATATGTCCAGTAATCGAATAGCACTAACCCTAAGCCTGCCCACCGGCCTTCCTCTCTTCTCCTGGTATTGCTGCGGCTAGCACTGAAGGTGCTATAGACACCAGAGCCCAACCAGGCTTCCCATGCTGGGGACACACCTTCCTCTCCCGGTTTTCTAGAGCCAGGCTCCCCTCCCACACCAGGGGCTGAATCCCAACACCATGCCTGTGATGGGGGGACAGGGGACCTATTTCAAAATGGAGCTCCGGGGTTGACAACAGGGAACCCCACTGGCTGTGGTTTTACAGAAGGTTCCTAGTGGACATTCTGCCTGTGTGGCTGATTCTTTGCAGAGACCATGAAACAAATGTTCTAGGGGTAGATTTAAAGGAGTAACCCAGCAAATTCCTTCTTGCCGCAGAAGTGGGACCATTACACTGTACCGTGTGTATGTTTTGATGATGATTGGCCACGTCATAAATAGGTAGCTGTTTTCCATGAGTGTGAATGTGTTTGTTGTTTCCTGACTTGAAGCAATGCAGAGCGAGCAATAAATGGCACTCTGAGAACGGTACGTTGGTGCCCCGTCAGCGCTCTGGGGTACATTCTGGTACCGCAGCTCAGGCTTCCAGCACAGGAGACCAGGGGTGTTCTGAGCCCGCTCACCCACACTCAGTCGTGTGGTTGCTCACAACTCTCCAACAAAATACCAAACAACACAGAGTTTGTTTTCATTTTTTTTTTTTAATGTACAAACGACTCTTTTGCTTTGTTGGTTTATTTGAATCAGTGACAAATGCCCACATCTTCACACTGGAGGCTAAAAGCAGGACATGGCTGCATCCCTCCAGCTGCAGAGCAGGAACTCTATTCTTCCGGATACATGGGACCCTCAGATGGGCTGGACGGCCAAACAGACATTTGGCAAACTGTACAGGGGACCCTGAGACAGCCCTAGATCTTGCACTGGGTTGAAATGCTTTTCCCAATTCTAGCTGAATATAGAATAGGCACCTGGGGTGTCTTTTCGCACCTCAGCCTCCTTGAAGCAATGCACGGACTTCTCAGTGGTGCGGAAGGGTGAAGTTAGGAATTGGCCACCCACACTCTCTGTGCTGTACCCATTGCTTAGAATCTGGAAGAACCGGACTCGGCTTGGGTTGGGACGTAGAGAGTCCAGAGGTGGCATTTGAGGGTGAAAGAAAGATCTCCAGTTGGCAGTGGGGGTAGCAGCACATGGGAGGAGTAATGCACTCAAAAGCAATCAGATCTTCTTCCTCTTTTTGAAGAAGTTTATGCAAGACTGGAGTCTGCAGTTTCTAGAGTCTGGGAAGACATGTTTGTTCTGTCCAACTTAGCAAAAGAACGTGGATGTTCTTGGCACAGAGCTGCGGGAGCTTTGCTTCATTAATCTTACTGCTGCGTCCCAAGGCTCCCTGAAGTTTGAAGCAGTTTCTGCAAGATGCTCTCTGCTAGTAATAATGTAAAACAAAAACCCCAACTGAACAATGACCAGAAAAGCAGAGAAGCATGTGGGACAGTCCCCCATGGAAATCAGTGCATGCCCTCGCATTTCCTTCCTTCCTGTCACCCACTTCTGGGCACCTGCTCAGCCTGGCCTTTATAATCCCCCTCGATTAGGCTCCTGGACTCATCTCTCCACAGCTGTGAGCTCGAAGGCCACTGCTGAAAAGCAAGGCCTTGTCCCAGTCTCCACTGGGCCAGGAACACATCTCTCTGACACCTCCAAAAACCCCTCAGAGGTGAAAAGCACTGAGTTCCCAAGCAGGGACACGATCACCGTGTATTTCTGAAAAGCTGTCTACTTTTTCATGTCCTTTTGTGTTCGTCGCATTCATCATAAGTAGTTCTTCAGTTTTTTGCAGTGTTGTTCTGATTTCAAGGAGAAGGGAAGCCATGGAATCTAAGTGGATTGCCTGCCTGGGTTATCTGAATGTGCGTGGCAAAGTTAGAACTCCTTTGAACCGCAGGCACTGTGTCTTCTTCCTGTGACGCTCTGCTGTCCCCTCCCAGAGAAAAACTCTCATTGTCATCATACCTCTGAGTATAGCAGCACCTGGAGATAAAGTTAAAAATGCAACGAAATACGCATAGCTGGAAGGAAAACCAACCGAATAGACACCAATCAGTCGGTACACGTAATGATGAACAAACCTTCTGGAACTGCTGTGACACACAAGGTTTCACTCATGAAACCCTTTCAGAAATTTCAGATACTTTTTTATGGTTCTAAAGAAGATTTCTAGCTGGCACTGTCCATCCTCCTCCCACCTAGCTATGGGATATGTGGATGGAAGCAAAGGTCTGGATACATCTGCTGCTTGTCACAACATCCACCAGATAAACAAGACGAGTTTTGTGAGAGAGAAATTAAAACTCAAATGCACGAGCGATGATGAATTGATCCGGGCCTGCATCAGCCTGTAGGGAACATGTAGAACAGGACAGTGTTGCATTTTTCTTCTCCATGGAGTGAGAGGCTGGGTATTTTTAGCAAGGAAATCAGTGTGGCATGCTGGAGGTTTGGCTGCCAGGGACAGGCATGATGGAAAGTTCTCTGGCCCGGGCTTTCATGAAGGAGAGAAGAAGATCTGAAGGTGCACATCCCTTTGCGTGCCACTTAAAGAAAATTTCCTTAGCAGGCTGCTCAGGCCTTTTGCAGCCATACTAGCCCCTCATTTGCAGCTTTGGGGGAAAGTCCCTCAGTGAGACAGTGGCCATGGATTCTCTTCAACAGTGCACAGGAAGAGAGTGCAGCAATCTAGTTGCAGCGAGAAAGGTGGTCCGGCTTCGAGTCACCAGGGAAGGGATAAATGCAGAAGTGCAGGGCAGATGGCCTGGGAGGAAGCTGTTGTGGGAAAGTAGAGATTAACCTGGAAGAAAAGAAAAGATGATCATGATTTTCTTTGCTGCAGCCAGGCAAGCAGAGTGTAGAATGACCAGGCAAATTAACAGCATCCCAGTGATTATTGGAAATAACCCATTGTGATGCTTATTCAAATAAGAATTACGCTTCAGGGCACTGAGCTCTGAACTTAGGCCCTCTTCTTACTGTATTCCATTGCTTGTATCAGAGCCACCTTTTTCTAGTAGAAAACTACGCATTTCCTTTGAAATGCATCCATCCCTTTGACCACCAGGAATGTATAAGAACTGTGGTAAGATAAGCCATTTGGTACTATTTTTATGTATTTTAAATGCATAACTTAGGTAAAATAAGAATAGCTTGTATGCATATTAAAAGTTTTGCAGTATGCAGACAACCATGGATGCCTTCAAAGGCTGTACACTTATGTATATTTAGCTCTTTTTGTTAAATAGAGTTAACATGACATGCCTCTTAATTCCATACATTCTGTAAACCTGTGAATAAAAAGTAATTCATGCTTCATGTAGCACTGACCTCTGCTCTGCTTGAATATGGGTGTGTCCACTTGGGTCTTAGAAGTGAGGGACAGCATGTTGGGCTATGGGCGCGGTGGTGATATCTTTGTGGCTCACTCCTGTTCATACAGGAGATGGGTACACAGGAGCCTTTGGCTCCTTCACTTAGAAACTAAAAAGTCGTGGAATCTTTGAGTATTCCTCCCTTGACCTGGGGCTCCTAGTCCTGACAGGTTGACAAAGGACTCTGGGGATCTTTGGGTGTCTTCTGATCCTGCGAACATGGGGATCGGAGGAGAGATTGCTAGACCTCGTTGATGTGGTTGAACCTTGACCACCTCGAGGGCAGGACTTCTGATCCATGTCTGGGGCCTAACTTGGCAATCAGTGTGCAGAAAAGTTTTGCTGCACGCATCTTAATCGGAGACCTATTGGGTGCATTAAGAAAAAGAAAGCATTAAGACCCCGAATCACATATGACCGTATACCTGCTGTGTGGCAGGGACTGTGGTGTGCTGTGGGGCTTTTTAAAAAGTGTAACAGCAGAGTAGCCCTCATTTGACTTCTGATCCAGTTAAGAAAGTCGTAATTGCACGAAGCTGTAGGCAACAATCTGAGGTCAGATGCGATTCTTTACTGTAAAGCACTGTGTGACTGATTGAGCAAAAACTGGGGTGGTAACCAAGAATTTAATGCTCGTCGGCCTGGATGGAATTGCTTTCCTTATGGTAAGGTAATAAAGCACCACAGGTGTAGTGGCTTAAAGCAGCTCCTGCTCATCAGCTCACAGTTCTGAGGGCTGAGGTCAGGCACGGACCAGGTGTATCTCCTGCTCAAGGTCTCACCTGGCTGCCACCAGGTGGCAGGGTAAAGGGTCCGAATGAGCTCACCACCAGTTGGAGGCTCAGCAAGAAAAGCTACTTTCCAGCTCAATCCCAAGATTGGTAGAATGCATTTCCTTGTGATTGTGGTATGTTTTCTTTCTGGCTACAGTGCGGGGGCTTCTTTCAGCTCCCAGAAGCCACACCAGGTCATTGCAGCATGGCCTCCTGCATAGGTCCTGTGACAGATTCACTGTTGGCTTCTCCAGGCCACCTGGAAGTGACGTCCCACCCCCTTTACCTGTTCTATTACCTTGAAACAGGTCACAGATTCCACCCTTGCTCAGGGATCATCCAAAGGCACGATTCATGGGGCTTGGGAAGTCACCTTATGGGATGTCTGATGCAGGCACCAGGCCAAGAGATTGGATGGCCAGCTGCTCAGAATCGATCCTGACCAGCAGCAGCCATTCACCTGGACCCAAGGGACTGGGAGCCGTGCGCACAGGGAATAAATCTCCAGAAAGAAGGTTACTGTAGGCCGGGGCAGTACCCGTTTGTCCAGTAGAGAGAGGATGGCCTCGTTCCTTTCAGTCTTAGTCACTTTTCTAGTTGCTGGGACAGCAGATCTGACACTCACAATTAAAAGGAGAGGTTTATTTTCGCTCATATTTCAGTCTATGGTCACCTGGCTCCAGGGCAGGACAGCACGGCACAGGGGTATGGCAGACGAACAGCTGCTTCCCTCATGGCTGACAGGAAGCAGAGAACACAAGAGAGGCTCTGAGAAGGGAGCTGTAACCTTCTAGGTCTCACCCCCAGTGACCTGGCTCTTCCAACCAGGCCCCCCCTGCTAACAGCAAGTCAGGAGTGGCCCCAATCAGATCACCTTCCAAAGGTCCTGCCTAGGATCACATGAGGCTTTGGGGAACAACTAGATATTAACTATGACGCTTGTTTTACCATTAAACCATTGATTATGCTTGTGAAGAAGCTCAGAGAAGAACTCTAAGTTCAAAACTCCAGTCAGGAGGAGCTCATTAATCAGGTGGAGACCAATCCTAGTGTCTCTGCGCGTTTTGTGTTGGGCCTTGAGGGCTCACTCAGCGTGGGCTGCCCAGTCCCGATTAGGCAGGGTGCTTCCTGTCTTTCTGAGAGCGCTAATGGAGGTCCACCTGCCTGAGAAGAATTGGAGGCACAGTCGTGAGTCGCCTTCATTGATCACCTGCCCTTGCAATTGGCTTCTTACCTGCCTCCCAGACGGGACAACCTTTTACTAACCAGGATCTAATTGGCACAAATGACTTTTTCCAACAAATTGGTAGCAGAGGTGAGACGAAAGGCCACGGGCAAGCCCCACCTCCTGGCCTCTGCTCCAGGCAGCCTCTTGTTAAACGTGAACTTTTGTCCCTGCCTGCAGCCAGACACCAAACAGAGGCAGCGTGGCAAGAGGACTGGCAGGGAAAGAGGGGCTGCCCCAGATTCCCCGGCACTGGCTGCATCTGTGTCCTTACACACACCTCCAGGGCCCACTGCAGGAGATTTCTGGAAGACAGGAGCAAGGTACAGCAAAGCGCCCTCCATGCTCCAAGAGGCGGCTGTTAGGGCAGGGAGAAGCAGGTCTAGCTCAGTGTGCCCGGCTCCGTAACATCCGTCATCCCCCAAAGGATGCAGAGCTCCGATCCGCTGTTGCAGGGCTGAGAGATTCCAGCCTGTGCTGCCGGCCTGGCCATTGTGCCGTCTCTGCGAGGACTCAGAAGAGTCGGGCAGGCCAAAGAGCCCGGGGCCTCACTCTCGACACTGTCCCTGGTTTACCTCCCTCCTCCGTCACCCCCAGCCTCCTGAGTCCGCTTCCTCTCACTCATCTGTGAATCCTTGCAGCATTACGGCGTCTTGCTTCATAAGTCACGTGAAAATCCACATCAACGCTTTCATTTGATTCTTCTTAGCCAGTTCTGAGTTCACATTATATGAACAGCGCCCTGTGACTACTGAGAATACGAGTCTTCAGGAAGGGAGAAGCATTTAATAAGCGTGCTGTTTGACATTTTCCGCATGGTAGAAATCCTTGGGGCAGGTGAAAGGAAGCTCAATAACAATATGGCCCACATGATCCAACCTCACCACGGTAGCACGTAATGAAACAATCCCCAAACCAAATGGTAAATACAGGCAATTCTGATCTTTTTTATGTCCCTGAAGAAGCGGGAAGCCAGTCCTAACCACCCGTGTGCTGCTTCCGACATGCAGTCTCCCCAGCCTCTGGGCGTTCAGCAGCAGCCCCGAGAGCTCAGGCTCCCCTCCCCCTGAGGCTCCACAGTCACCATCCACCTCAGCCCAGCCCTCGCCATTGCTTCCGTTCCATTTTCCTGAGCAGACAGTGCAGGGGATGTGTAGACATTCGTGTATTTTAATCCCACTATTGCCAAGGCGGTAAATTTAAGTTTTGTCTGTCTCTGATTCTCCCCTTCCATACCACATTGCCTGTTGTGTGTGGTGGGGTGGTAAAAACAGCTCTCAGATTCTTCAGCGCCCCTCCTTTCAAGAGGTAGAGCCTGATTTCTTATCCCTAGTGAGTGAGCTGCACTAAGCAACTTGCTTCTAGGAAGTAGAATGTGGCAGAAGTGTTGGCGTATGGCTTCCTAGAAGAGGTCTTAAAGGGTATTTAGGTGTCCTTCTTTCTCAGTCTTTAATACTCAGTATGAGCAAGGCCAGCCATCATATTCTGGCTGTTGAGAGGCCCACACGGGTAGAATTGAGGCCTCCAGCCAATAGCCAGCACCCTATGAGGAAGCCATCTTGGATGTGGACGTGTCCAATCCTGTCAGGCTTTAAGATGACCATAAATCTGATCAGTGGTGTCTCCTAACTGCATGAACAATTCTGTGCTGCTGAGCTATTCCTAAGTTTCTGATCCACAGAAACTTTGTGAGGTAATACGCACTTATCGTCTTAAGCTGCTGAGATTTAGAGGAATGTTACGTAGTAATGGATAGCTAATACACCACCATTTTTCTTGGCTTGTAGGAATGATGTTGCCACCAAATGAATCCATTAGTTTGAGAAGGTTTAGAAATGGACACATATACTTGCCACACCGTGCCACTCCATGTCACCATACAAGGAACGCACACACACATTTGAGGGATGCCGTTTCCAGAAATAATTTAAGCCCAGGTTGCTATGTGCCTCAGTAAACAACCATATTGAAATCAAAATGAGAAAATGTTCCATTTAACTAGAAAACTGGCATTTTGAAAGGGCATCTCAGCGGAGTCTAGAGAAGAATTGGATGTGGAAGAAGAGAGTAATCGCCTCAACTTTCCCAGTTACTCCCAGGAGCATGTCCTAGTGACAACACGGTCTTCTGACCTGTGTTTCGGGGTTGTGGCCAGTCATGAGGAAGGTGAGGATGCTCTGAAATCATGTTGTGGTTTATATCTAAGTGGCTCTCAAGAGTCTCGTGTGCTCCAAGTCAGGGCTTTTGGAAGATGACTGAGATATGGGGGTGACTTGCTGTGCGAGGTGGGGGCTGGTTAGAGATGGGTCACTGGGGTGTGATCTGGAAGGGTCTATTGCTTTTCTTACCTCCTGCCTTTGTTCTCTCTCTCTGTCTCTCTCTCTCTCTCTCTCTCTCTGCTTTCTGACCACCATGATGTGAGCATCTTTCCTCTTCCAGACTCTTCCACCATGACTTCCTGCCTTTGACTCAGATTTCCATGGGCTAAAAACATGAGCCAAAATAAAACTCTCCTCCTTTAAATTGACGGTGTCAGGTATTGTGTCCCAGTGATGAGAAAAACGACTAAGTTATCTCAGGTAACTCACAGATGTCTGTCAACTTCTGGGTGGAAGGTAACCCTGCCATCATCCCTTCTCAGTCGGAATGCAGTGCCCCTCGAAGAGGAGGGGAAATGCCAGCATTTCACCTTTATTGTGATAAGCGTTACTCTGTGGATTTCCTAATGGTGGCCCCCAAAACAAATCTAGTCACAGCTTTATAGCCCAGAGGAGCACTTCGCAGGCAGCCCAGATAGGTTTCAGGGTACCGAGCTTCTCCATCTTCACTCAGCCTCACGTCAAGATGCCTCAGTTTGTTGGGGCTGGAGAAGGTGAGGCCCAAACAAAG